GCTCTTCCCTTGTCCAGCCTACTTGCCTAGGTCTGGGAAATCCCCTGTTCACAAGAGTGGCCAACCTCTAAGCCTGCAGGCATCAGTGAGGCAGGATAAGCTAGTGCAGCTCTTTGTGGTCACCTCAAGGGTGCCTAGAAGCATGGCCTGGCATAGTCTCCACAGGTTAAATCTGCTTTGGCCTTTGCCAGAATTGCCCCCAATTTTGTCAGGAGATCTCTTCCTAGTAAGGAAGTAGAACACTGTAGGACAATTAAAAACTCATGCTTAAACATTTTACCCTCAAATTGACATGTCAAAGCAGGAATAAAGAAACTAGCTGGGTGTGGTGGCGCACACCTGTAATCCCAGCACTCACGAGGCTGAGGCAGGAGGACTTCCATGAGTTCCAGGACAGCCTGGGCTACGTAGTGAGTTCAAGTCCAGGCTGAACTACACAGCAAGACCCTGTCTCCAAAATAAAAAAGCTCTGACTAGAGCTCTCCTCAAAGCTCTAGTACCCCTCACTTGGGGTACAGCAAGTGACCAAGATAAGTTAGACATCTCACCACGGTAAATCAAAAGCCAGCGTCAAAGTTTGAAATCCATTTGCAAATCTACTTGGACCTTGTGAAAGCTGGCCTGGCCATTCTTGGCACTGTTGGATATCTGCCACTGAAAGGAGGAGCAGGATGAGCTGTGAATTAGAGGAGTCAGAAGGTCCACTCCAACTGTGCCCTGTGGGGCTCAAAGCTGTCTGAGCAGCAGGAGGAGGGGCCTGGGGAATACTAGGTCTCCCTGGGTGCTGGGCTCCGGTGGGGTTTCTGAGTCACTTAAAGACAAGGGGACTGATTTACTGGCCTGAGAATTATAAGGCAGAAGTTGAGGACACCACCCTGTGTGGCTGTGTTCATTTAACAGGTGGAAGAGACCCGTAGCCCCCTGTGAGACGGGTGGGTGCCTGAGGACAGGGATTATCAATGCTGTCAATTTCCCCTCCTTGGGGCCTTCTTTAAGTACCAGGTTTGGGGTTTTTTTTAGAAATAAAGAGCCACAAAAGCATGAACATAAGTGATTTCATAGCACCTTTCTTGCTGTTTGCAGAAATAATCTAGCTGAAAAATAGTATCATAATTTAGACTGCCATTCTTGTACCTGTCTCTCACCATTTCTGGGTTCATACTGGACTCCAATATTGCAATAGAAGTTAGGTTTTTTTTTTTCTTTTTTTTTCCAGATTGTCTGGGTCCCATGTTTAAGGATCAGCCTGGTGACAAGGTCTCTGGGATCTCAGCGTGTTCCCACGGTGCTGCATGGGACCTGTGCAGAGCAAGAGACAACTCGGTCCCTGGTCCTCCAGACGTCACCCTGTGCACGAAGATGCAGCCCCTCGAGCCCTCGTGAGCTGCAGGCACAACCAGGCAGACGTCGCTGACAGAAGCAGCACCAGTGCCCTCTTGTTTATTTCTCCTTAGGACTCTCTATAGCCCGTGTCCCACTATGACTCCTTAGAGAGGAGAGGGGGCTTCCTGGATCCCCAATGAGCCGCTTGAAAGCGTGAGACCCTGAGAGGTCAGGGTGGAGCCCTGTGGGAGCTCCCTCACCCTCTGAGAAAGTGTCCTTCACACTTACCCCAGTAATAAAAACTACACCCTATTGTATAGCTGGCCATTTATATTTCCTTTGAGAAGTATGTATTTGTTTCATTTGCCCATTTTGATTGGGCCTTTTATATTGGGGGGGGTCTAATTTTTTAAGTTGTTTATATATTCCAGATGTTTGCCCTCTGTCTGAGAGTAGATGGCAAATACTTCCCCATTTTGTATGGTAGGTTGTCTCTTCACTCTGTTATTTCTTTTGCTGTGCAGAAAGCTTTTTAAATTTGATATGATATTTGCTGCTTGTTGGTGTTATTTCTTGTGCAAGTGTAGTTCTTTTCAGAAAGTCCTTGCCTATCCCTGTCTTTTTAACAGTTTTATCTAAGTTACCTTCCAGCAGATTCTGTGTTTGTTTTAATACCTAGGTCTTTGATCCATTTTGAAATTATTTTAGTACAGGGTGAGAGTTATGCATCTAGATTCACTGTTCTGCATGTGGATAACCAGTTTTTCTAGCATCATTTGTTTAAAAAGCTATCTTTTCACCTATATGCTTTTGTCCCCTTTGCAGAGATCGGATGGTGAAGATGCCTTGTGTTCTTTGCATATCCTCAGTTCTGTTCCACTGATCAACCAGTCTCTTTTTGTGCCAATATCATGCTGTTTTTGTAATATAACTTGAAATCTGGAATTATGATGCCCCCTGCTTTGCTCTTATTGCTCAGCATTGCTTTTGCTATTCTGGGTCTCTTCTGGGTTCATATAAATTTTAAGATTTTTTTTGGAGACAAGGTCTCACTACATAGTTCAGGCTGGCCTTGAACTCACTGTGTGGCCCAAACTGGCCTCAAACTCATGGCAATCCTCCTGCCTCAGCCTCTTGAGCACTGGGATTATAGGCATGCACTACCACACCTGGCAATCTCGTGTTTTTGTTTTTTTTTTTAGGTTTGTGAAGAATGTTGTTAGCATTTTGATTGGGATTGCATTAAATCTATATATTATTTTTGGCAATATGGTCATTTTGTCAATACTGGCTCTCCCTATCCATGAGCAGGGGTGCTTTTTCATTGTTTGATGTCCTTTTCACTCTCACGTCATAGAGGTTTTAGCACCAAAAACCTTTCTAGGAGACTATCTCAAAAGTTGTATAATGTACTCTCTCCAGTAGCAGACCAAGTTCCCATTCAGCAACATCTGCAACTGTATTAGTTCGTTTTCTGCTACTATAATGAAATATCTGAGGCAGAGTAGTTTACAAAGAAAAGAATTACAGTTCTGGAAGCTTAAGATGTGACACCAGCTTCTGCTCAGTTTTGGTAACACTCACGGCAGCTGACGCACAGTGGTGGAGTGTGTGCGGGAAGGAGAGGTCAAAGGGCAAGACAGAAAGCCAGAGGGAGGTCACTTGCTCCCCTGAGAACTAAGGGATCCCACACAGGAGTAACTGCTCCTCCCTGCAGGAACAGCCCTTCCAAAGGCCTCCCACAGGGCTCTGCTGCTTGACTGTCCCATCACCTCGACCTCGCCACTCCAAGACCAGGTCAACTCGGGAATCCTGCGGACAAACCATGTCCCTATCACAGCAGCAACCGGATTTGGTACTATCCGACTTTGGACTTTGTGCCTCTCCGGTGCCTGTGAGATCAGCCCCCATCCCCGTGCTGGGGATTGAACAAGGTCTTGTCACTGGACTACATCCCTCGCCATGTTTTCTGAACAGGGTCTCACTAAGTTGCCAAGGCGGGGCTTCCACTTGCCAGCCTCCCACCCAGCCCGCCGGAGTGCTGGGATTGCAGGCATTCTCCACGAGCTGGCTTTGTTCTCCATTTCCGCTTTCCTGATTATTAGTGAGGTTGAGTGTTTGCCTCTTCTTTCTTTTCCTTTTTTTCCTCTTTGGCCTTTGATATTTCTTTCTGTATAATGTCTTGTATATTTTTAAGTACTTTTTCCTATTGGGCTGCTTTTATTTTCTTTACAGATACATGGAAGGTATTTGTTCTTCACGTGTTTTTGTTGACTATTTGTGTGACAAATATTGTATTAGAGTTTCTGGCTCGTCTTTTCTCTCTCTGTAGTATCTTTTCAAGAAGAGAGGTTTTTCATCCTGAAGTAGCATTTTACCTACCTTATCAATCTTTGTGTTTTTGCTAGTTTAGTAAGTCCTTTCCTGGCCTGAGGTCACTTAGATAATCTCTTACATTACTTTATAAATATTTTTAAATTCTGTTGCCACAGACTCAGCATGTCCCCCCCAGATTCGTACGCTTAGCCTAAGGCCCAACGTGGTGCTCTTCAGAGGTGGTTAGGCCAGTGGTGGCAAAGCTGTGGCACCCGTGCTGCAGCAGGCTCACAGAGCCCTCCCTGCAGGCAGGTGAGCCAAGTCACCCCAGCAGCTGAGCACCGAGTATTTAGGTCTAACTGCAGTGTTGGCACCTTGTGATAAATACTGAGCCTTGGGTTGCAGTTCGGGCTCCCGGTCTCTTAAAGGTTCGCCCTTGCTGGATAGGCCATGACAGTGAAGAACTAATAAGTGGAGTTAGGGCTCTTGTACCTCAGAGAATTCCCTTGTCCCTTCTGCCGTGGAGGACACAGTAGAAGGTGGCAGTCTGCTCCCCGGAAGAGACCCCTCCCTGGAGCCAGACAGTGCTCGCACCCTGGCCCAGACTTCCCAGCCTCCGGAACCGTGAGAAATAAACGTCCACTGTCTAAGCCACGCATCTGTGGTGTTTGTATCACAGTAGCCTGAATGGATTAGGCTTCTTGTTTTAAACTTGAACATATCTGGTATTAATGTGTGTGTGGAGCAAGATATGGATGTTCCGCTTTTCTTCCTGGAGCTGCTGCTTAGCTCAGTACCATCTGTAGTACTTCATAGCCTCACATTTCTCCCCTGACGCACTGCAAGCTCCATGTGACCTGATTTATCACCCATCTGTCCATCACTCACCAACACCTGTACCTACTGAGCATCTACTCTGTGCTCAGCACTCCTCTGGGTGCTGGCCATAGAGCAGTGAACAAAACAGACAAAAATCCCCATAGAGTTTACATTCTATTGGAGGAAGGAAAATAACAGATAAAATAATAAAATAAAAATGTGTTAGGGGACACGAATGGGGAACGTGGATATGAATGGGGACGTGGATAAAAACAAACTGAGGGAAAGGAATAGAGCGTGGGGAGAAACGTTATAATTTTAAACAGGAAGGTGAAGGAAGGTCTCACAGAGAAGGTGACAATTTAGCAAAGACCTGAAAGATGTAAGTGAGCCAGCTTTGAGAATATCTGACAGAAATGTGTTCCAGGGAGAGGTAAGAGCTTATGCAAAGGCCCTGAGGCAGGTGCACGCCTGGCATTATAAAGAGCTATAGGGAAGCATATGTGCCGGGGCCAGTGTAAAGATGGCATGAAGCATAGGGTATGGGCCACAAGGTCAGAGAAGTGCGGGGATCCAGAGTGGGTAGGAACAGGTGGGCCTGTGTTTTTCAGACTCAGTACATTACCACTTGGCCAGCTCCTGGCAATAGAGATCATGAGGTGTTTTGCTGATGAGAATATTTTGTATGTCGGGGTATGAGGCCTAAAATTATCCGTATAATATTATAAAATTATTATAAGCTTAATATTGAATGCTGTCTTAACATCGTCAGATTGGGAAGGCCTCAGATGGTCTGAGTGCTTGTTCTCCTCCCTACACTTCTCCTGCAAATAAAATCCCCTTGCCAAATAACCTTCCTAATCAAAAAGGGCTGACAGGCCCCTGTTTATCCCTAAGTCGGTGGGTTTCAGTTCCCTGTCAGCCTGAAGACTTATTTAAGCAAATCACATCCTTCGGCAGAACAGGGGTGGGGTGCTGGCTTCATCATCTTGATAGTATAAGATCGGCCTCCTGAGCTGTGGTCTTCTACTGCTCCCCTATGCACCCCTGCATATCCCTGAGTAGTGCCCCTTTCCTCTGGGACATGAGTGTATGTGCCCAATAAACTGCTCATGAATTCATGCCTTTGGCTTTGAGCATTGTATATTTGGCCACTCCTATAACCCCAGGGAGGGACCCCTGACTTACCCACAGGTCACCAGGTGGTGATTAAAGCTCATGTCTGGGTTTAGAGCTGCACTGTACCAGTTTGCCTAGACAGTCATACTAGCAATGCGTGTGTTTTACGGTGGACACCTGCTTTCCCTCTGCAGGTGCGTTGTGCGCCGATGTGACCGACCTCCCAGGCTCAGACGAGCTTCCTTAATTGGTAACACTTCCCTCATACTGTCACACACCATTGCTGCAGGAGTTAAATAAGTTCTGTGCAATGCCACTAGGAGAGAACTTTCCAAAACCTGCGCTTTCAGTTTCCTCTGGACTTTACCCAATATGCCTATTTCCTGTGCTGATTTTATTTGTATCATTTTGCTCATTTTAATGAAATGTATGTCATGTAATAAAGCATTAATGTGAGTGTAAAACTTTTGGTTTTTGTGAAATTTTCTCGTTAAGCAAGCCTGAGAGTGTCTTCTGGCCTTCTATCATGGCACCTGCCCCTGGGAAGTCTAGGTGACATTGTGTCATGGAGGGAGGGCCTCACGAGGGCAGCTCCTTATCTGGCAATCAGATGGTCCCTCGGGAGTGATTCTGTACTGGGAGCTAGGAGATGACTTAGAGACTGAGCTCATCAGACCAAAGTTTGGGAGTGAAGCCCATTTTGAGCTATGCGTAACCTCCATCTTTGCCACCATGGCCATTGTGTACACGAGGCCACTGATCAAGCCTTGAGGTGGTTAATATCTTCAGGAAAGATCATCATACGCAGGCTGAGAGGCTCTGCCAGAATTTTCCCATCACAACTAAGCACTTCTTCCTCCCACTGCTGAGTTTTGGTGACCAAGAGTTCATGCTCTCCCTTCAAAGACTGCACTCTGCCCAAGAGGGCTTCCCCGTTCACAGTGGTGCTCCTTCCCAAGGGCTGCCTGCCTGCCTGCCTAGACACTATGGGTTATAAAGGCCTCACTTTCTTGCTCGGTGTGGAGCAGAAATCACAGCTCCATAGCTCCTCAAGACAGCAGAGGCTTTCACTAAGACTGTTTCATTGCACAGCTTCTCCTCTGGCCAATTCTTTGTTCATTTCTTCCAGATTTAGACCCTGAAAAGTACTCCCAAACAACTTCCTTCAGGTTAATCTCTGTCTTAGACACTGCTATTCAGTAAACCCAACCTGGAACAGAGGCTACCAGAAGGTGACCCCTAGAAAGGAATTTGGAAGCTATGTGAACTAACTGCCAGCTGTCCTCATTCCTGGTAATAAATAGGGAGAACATCCATAATTCCCAAGTAGGTAGGAATGTAACTGTTAAATTTTCCAGCACTGGTCCTGAGATAAAGTAACAGTGGGAAGAAACACATTGGTGGCTACAATGTATGATTCATTAGAAAATACCAAGAAAAATAGAAATTATTTTTTAAAAATGGAACTGTCTGGCTGTATGTGGAAACATTCATTCCATTAGGGAAAGACAATGAAAGGCTGAGATAATAAATCAGTGGTTAGCCAGGTGTGGTGGCACATGCCTGTAATTCCAGCACTTGGGAGGCTGAGGCAGTAGGATCACTGTGAGTTCGAGACCAGCCTGGGTTACAAAGTGAGTTTAAGACCAGCCTGAACTGCATAGTGAGACCCTGTCTCAAAAAGATAAAAAAAAAAAAAAAATCAGTGGTTACCTGATAAGCACAAGGTCATGAGTCTAATTCTCAGTACCAAAACAAACAAACAAAAATCAGTGGTTAAAGACTAAGCATGAAATCCAGAGAACCTCCTTGGCAAAGTATAAAGAGACCTCTATGTTCTGCATCAGGAAAGTAGAAAAAGCTGAAAGGACCCAGCTCAAAACTTAATTGTAATATAAGCAGAGCTCTAGAGAAGGTTGAATCTTCAGCATTACCAAGTCTCTTTTGCTAAGGTCATGGCCTTGTTTGAAAAGGAATGGAATTCTGAATCATAGGATCAAAATGTGTGGGTCAATGCCCTAAAAATTCTTGACTACCGATTCTTCTAAACTCTCTCCAGTGTGCCCTACTGTTCTCTGTTACGAAAGTTCTGCCTCCCTGCCTAGAACTTATTCAGTACTAGGTGGAATGATGATCCTCACCAAAATATATGGCCAAGTTCTAATATCCAGAACCTGTGAATGTTACTTTATTTGGAAAAAAGATCTTTGAAGATGTAATTACTGACCTTGCCCATCCTTCCTTATCAGGGTGGACCCTAAATCCAATGACAAGTGTCCTCATGAGATGTACAGAAAAGGAAGAGGCAAAACAAAGGCAGAGCCAAGAGTTACAGGATGAGGATTTTATAGAGCCAGTGGGAGCTGGAATAGACAAGAAACAGAATATGCCCTGGAGGCCCTGGAGAGACAGTAGCACCAGGAAACTAATGTGTTCCTCCATTTTCAGAGATGATGTGGTGGCCTGCCACATAATGTGTCCTCTTCTCAGGATATGAGCAGTGGTGTCATTAACTTGCTTTGTCCCACTGAATGACAAGCATTCCGAGGAACTGCTGACTTAGCCTATAGGCAGGGAGGCAGTTTCCGCACATAACAGGAGTTTTCCGGGTTCCTAGTGTTCTTTAGCTCAAGGATTGCTTATAATACACAGGCTCCTGGCAGCCTCCAATCACTCCTCAGAGGCCAGTCCTCCTGTGTGAAGAAGCGCTGTACTTCTGTCTCTGTTACACATACAAGTACACCAAGAGGAGTGTCCAAAACAAACTTAAACATGCCTGAAAGAGTAACAGGGTTTTCAGAAACAAATCACAGCCTACCCTACATGTATGTGGTTTCAACTAAAGAAAGGCAGTCACGGAAGGATGCACTGACCCACGCTGTCAGCCATAACCCAGACCAGGCACGCATCACTACTGCCCAAGCGGGACTGAGCAAAATGTGGAATCACGCACTGTAGCGTCCCAAACCACAGTGTTCTCCACTCCTATCAAGGGACATAAGAGAGAGAGACAGACAGACAGACAGACAGAGACAGAGAGAGGAAGGAGGAGGAAAGGAAGGGAGGAAGGGACGAAGAGAATGAGAATAAGATTCAGCCAGAAGGTCTCCCTTAGCTCAAATTCAGGACGACGTGAGCGTCTTTTACACTACGCACCACACCGGACACCATCGCTGCTGCGGTGCCGCCGCCAATAGGCTCAGAACGATCTGATCAAGAGGTGGCACTGCGCAAACTGCTGCAAAGGGACTGTCAAACTCGACAGGAGGTTGGACAGGGGAACGACTGGAAGCGCGGTCGCGCCCTCTGCTGGCCAGAGGCGGAAGCGCGGCGGAAAGCTCCACAGCCTTCCGGTTCTAGTCCCGCAGCAAACCCTGGGAAACCCGACCCGGAAGCGCGAAGCCGAGGGGACGCCAGGGGACGCGAGAGGTCGGCTCCGGGCAGACGGAAGGCGCCTGGCTCAGGTGGAGTGGGGTGGAGGGAGCCGCGCGGGGCGAGGGGAAGGGAGGCTGGAAGCGCGCAACCCTGGGCTGGGTGCCCTGTAGTACTTCCCTTACCTAAGGGCGGATTGGCCGGAACTGGCCCCCGGCGCTGGCCCCGCCCACTCCTGAGTGCTGATTGGCCGGAACTGACAGCCGGGCCCCGGCCCCGCCCACCTGCCGAGGCCGCCTCCCGGTCAGGCTCCTCAGTGCGGGAATTCTGACGGAACGGCGGGGCCGCACCGCTGAGGCCTGAGCCGCGGCCCCCGCCCTGTGCAGAAAATGCCCCCGGCCGTCCGCCTCAGTTCCTGTTGCCAGGTCACCTCGTGGGCTTCGGTTCCTGTCACGGTTCCGGTCACTTCTGTTTCGTAGAAGCCTGGTAAGTACGCGGCCCCCTGTCCGCGCCGGCCCGCGGTGACCAGCCGCTCTGCACCCCGGGACCCCACGAGCCCGCCCCCCTCCGCACCCCGGGACCCCCCGAGCCC